GGCTAAAGAAAGTGGCCCCGGGGTGGTCAACATTAGCTTTTTAGTGAGGAAAACGGGCGACGAAGAGCGATGAAGAAATAAAGCTGGCTTTTCAGAACAATTGCTGGCCTCCCACCCTCCTACAAGCTTTCTAATAATGAAAATAAGGTCTCCACCAAAAATGAACCAAAACGGATGCAAAACGGAGGTTCGGGGACCGAAACGCGCGGCCTGGGGCCCCGAAAATGGGCTGTTAAGCACCGGAGGTGGCGTTTGACCACGAAGTTGGTCTCTCCAGCCACAATGTTCCTCAAAAGGGAGGAAATAAGGTGTATGCCAAAAACCGGAGCAAACGGAGTTGGTTAAGCGGTCCCGAACCGAGGCATACGGCCGTCGGCTTCGAAAAACCAGAAACCGGGCTCCAAATGGAAAAAATGGCCTACGACCACGAAACGTAGCCTACGGCTACTGAGAGATGATCCACGAGACCTCTCTCTCCCTTCGGGAAGAGAAAATAGAGAAAACAGAGCCTGGTTCGCAAATCGAGGCAAGGCACAAAAGAATCCGGAAGCCCGGAGGCAAGGCTTGCAGCAGGGACTCTAAAACTTCTGAACGAGCACAATATGCAATATCACCGAGTGCTCAACTGGTGACGTCTGAGTCTTAAGGTCGGTCAAAAATGGGTTGTCTACACTAATGCATAAGAAAGAAAAAACGTCCAACGAGCTGTGACCTTACATGAGACAAAAGACATAGCTATATATATATACATGTACATTTAGGTATTACAAGTTTCTTATAATACAACACAACCAAAAGAGAAAAGTCATTCCCGTCAATAACAATTATAATACCAACGACAACCGACTATCACGCGAGTGAGATCCAAAAGGGTAATCACTGGGACTGCCAGTGCTCCAACAGATGGGAACCTCGACGAGAGGCACAAAAGATGGCTTGACCAAAATAGAGGTAAGATCGCCATCACTACGTCCCCTTCTGAATTGGATTACCTACCTATATAAATAAAATGTGAGCTAAGGCCTAGTGAATAACAACTGTGTAAATAGGTTATGAATGATGATTATAATGTAAACAAATTACATACTGAGCAGATGTTTTACTGCAGATAGAAAGCATAATGTGATACGTGATACATCTAAAAGTAATCAATACAGGCAGTCTAGAAGACCGAACAGGCGGTTACAAGAGCTGAAGATCAGATATATGATGGCCATCACTGAGATAAACAGGAGTCCCATGAATTGAAACTGACAGAGATCTCTGTAACTATGAGAATAGATGCTAAGGATGCCATGATAAATAGTGTAAACTGAAGTAGAATCATCATTCATCAATATAAGAAAACATACCAAAACAAAGCATAATTATAAAGTAGAAAAAAGGTACTGTAAATTAAACATATCTTTACAATAGTGTTACTCACAGCTGGTTCTGTGGTGTAGGTGACCTACACAGACAGATGTAAGCGTAGCACACTTAATTTACCAAACATCTAACTGATTAGTTCTATTATTTAGGAATTGATGGATCTAAATGCCTTTCACTTCGTTTAATGCTCATGCAATACAAATGAACATCAATTATGGATGCAAATCATGCTAACGGAGACCCGGAAGTGGGGTAAACGAAGCAGAAAAGTGAAACCGAGGTTATCAAACAGCCGCACATGCGGAGCTCCTTGGCCGCACGTACGGGACCCTTTCTGCACGTGCGCCACCAAGTGCTTTTTATGCAGAATGTTTCCAGCATCTCCCCTGTTACCCGCACGTGTGGGCTTACTCACCGTACGTACGCCAGTGCTCACCACACGTGCGGGCTCTCCAGCCGCACGTGTAGTTCTGGTTGTTCTAGAATCGAATTTCTGCCCTTTTTAGGAGCTTCATATTCCTCAAAATCAAACCCAAATTTGATCAAATTAAGGGCCAAAAACTAGCAAACATAGTATATAAATAATTTCTAAGTTCAAATCAGGGATAAAATTTAAATTCAAGCTTGTGTTCCATAATTTCATCAACAACTTCACAAGTACAGAGAAAACAAAAATCTATGCATGTGTTAATTCTATGCTTCAACAAAATTATGAAAATCAAGGTTAAACTCATGCAAGACCAAGTAAATGAGCTTGAGCAATGACATTAGGCAAAGAGATGGAAGAATTCCTCTTATTAGGGTTATAACACATCTTATACTACTTAACTCCTTACTCTCTCCCTTAAACCCATGAGTTCAAGATGGTAAATTCACTTTCATGTAAAAAGAATTAGAAAGAACTTTTACCTTAATGTGTTAATTTACTAAAGCTGCTTCAGAATCTCCTCTTCTTCTTTACCTTCCTCTCTTCTCTTCTTGCTCTCTAGAACCCTTCCATACTTTCTCTCAGATTATATATCTCTCTCTCTCTTACTTGAGGTCAACTCAGACACACACACACACATATATATATATATATATATAAAGATGTGTATGTATCTATATCTAATTTACTTAATTTGGTTCATTTAAATTAGAATTATACCCATTAAACGTTATCTGGACCCTACCTTATCTAATTAAGGTGACTTAGGCTCTAACAACCTAGTCCACTAGTTAATTCATAACCTTACGATTTAACGAATCAGACAAGTCATTTTCATAAATGAACATATATGTCAATAAACAGGATGTACATAATACATACATAAGCATAAATACACAGATAAATACATGATTACGATTTATCATAAGATTAACAACTAAGTAGAAGGCGGGTGTTACAATTATTGTGCTACAAATGTGCTTTAGAGTTTGTTTACCTATTTTTCCTACATGAAAGCATTTTTATTTTAGGTGTTTCTACATGAAAGTATTCTTATTATATCATTTGTTTGTTGTAATGTTTGAATTTGATTCTCGATATGAGTTTGTTGACCAACTAGAAAGAATTCAAGAATTAGGCGTTTCTTCATGATCATATTCTATTTGGTTGCCCAAAAAACTTAGACAATGATGACGAGATCGAAAATTATAACATCTTGTCTTTTATCTATTTATTTGTTGAATTTTTTTCTTGTATTGTTATTTTCTTAATTTTTTCCCTCATGAAGGGGAAATGCTAAATAGTTTTTCCACACACACACACACACACACACACACATATATATATATATATATATATATAATTTATAATAGCAAATTGGATTTGTTATCTAAAAATTATGACATTGGCAATTTGGGCTTTCAAAATTTACCAAAGTCACTTTAGTGAATCATAAGAAGGGTGCTCAGCAGGGTTCTTAAGTCTCGTTTGTCAATTATACATTTTAGTAAAAAAAGACACTATAAGTTATCACATCATTCTCTCCATGGTGCCAGAGAGGTTAGAGGACTTGGTGTTCCTAAAAGAGGGCATACTATGGTGTTAGATTTGAGTTATATTAGAGAATTTTTGGTAGTGATTGGTAAAATTTTAGAATTATGATTTGAGAATAGAGTTGTATTTTGAGTTTGTGAGTTTTGAAATTATAATTTAAAAATAGAAAATTTGTTTGGTTATGAGTTTTGAAAAGAGTTTTGAATTGAGTTTTGAATTTTTGATGCGACATATGAAATGAGAAAAGCTGTTTGGTTATAAGTTTTGAAAATAGTTTTTAAAACTTAATTGAAAAACTTATAACTCATAACCAAACACACATTTGAAAACTCTATTGAAAATTCTATTCAAAACTTATAATCAAACTCTTTTTAAAATTCAATTCAAAAAATAATTTATCATTTTAGTCTATAAAAATAATTTGTATATTTAAAAAATATCAAAAACAAATATAATTTTTTTTCTCCCAAAACCCAAAATAACATGTGGCATTGGCAATTGCACAAAAAAAAAAAAAAGAGAAGTGCTGTTCCGATCAACCGATCTGGTCGGACATGGAGAATGTCCAGAGGTAGACCAAAAATTCAAAAACTGTCTAGTTTACCAAACATATTTTCAAAATGTGTTTTGAAATTGATTTGAAATTATGGTTTGAAAGCTAAAACCAAACATAACATTCAAATATAAGGGTAGAAAATTGATTAGAGTTGCACACCAAACACATCCTTTGTTTTATTTTATTGAAATGGAAATATTGGAGAAGTACAATAAATTACTTGTTAAAAAAAATAATAATTACACTAAAAAGTATAATAAATTACACTAAAGTAGTTGTTTTAGATAATGTAAATAAGTATATTTTTTGAAATTTTATAAAAAGATGTAAAAAAAATAAAGAGATAATTTAACTTGAAAAAGACAGATAAAAAATTGTACTATGATAGATCATGCCAAACAAGCTCTAAGCTTATTTTTGTTGCCATTAATAGTGGCTCATAAAATATTTGAAAAAAAAATTGAGAATGGTTTTGCCTTTTTTTTTTTTGGTTCAACAATTTGGAGTGTCCGAATCAATTTATATCCACATTGATTAATCCCTTGTCATTAAAAACAGGTCATTCATTTATCCTTAAAAAAGACAAGTCATTCATGATGGGGTTAAAAAATTCATAAAAAATTACCTTTTCGCTGTCTAACTCCAAAAATCAAACCCTAAGTAATTATGTAAAGTGTATATCCACAAATACAATAGGATTTTAAGAAATATTTATTATACTCAGGCCTCGTTTAGAAATAAATTATTTTAATAATTTTTTAATTTTTTGACTAAAATATGAGATTAAAAACTAGTATGTTTGGAGTGATTTTTTGACTTTTTACGAAAAGATGTGTAAAAAGTAGAGAGAAAAATGAATCTTTAACTTTTTAGTATAAATTATAGACTTTTTGACTAAAATATTAACTTGCCAAACGAGGCCTCAATCACATTAATTTTTTGAAAGTAACAATTTACGTGCTGGTTTAGGATTTTAAGTAGAAAGCATACCACTTATTATATCTCGTCGTGCACGTACATAAAAGAAAATAATAATAATCAAACAATTCTCAAGTGAAAAATAGAGCAAAAGAACTCTCTCTTGCAAAATAGTGATATTAAAGTAAGAAAATAATTTTTTTTGAAAAGAGAAGGTAATTGGAGTTCACCATCACATGAACATACCATGACAAAGTTTTGACTAAGCATGAGAGCATAGATTATTCCAAATGCAAACTACAAACGACAATAGAAACTACATCATAATATGCCATAGGTAGCATATTTTTTTATTCAAAGCATCAAATTAAATTCATCACTTGGCCTAGAAGAACACTTTCTCTCTTGTTCCATATTGCTTCATTTCTCAAGTTCAAGCCCAGTATTCTCTAGCTTCATCTTGGTCATTTGGTCAAGCTTCTCTTGCATCTCATTGCTCAAATTGTTCTTCCAATCACCAACGACACCAAGCCTGAAAAAAGAACTCTTGGGAATCCCAACACTAGTCAATCCATTCTTGTTCACTTCCAAGTTCTTAAGCCTATCCAAGCTACACCTCCACAGCACCTTCTCAAGCTCTTTGTCATTTGCGAATGGCCTTCCAAGAAACGAAGCCAACTTTTTCACTTCTTCTTTCGGATCTCTTTTCATTTCTTCGTACCTCAAAAACAGGATCTTCTCAGGCTTCTTCAAGCTCTCTTTCCAATACTCCAACACATGATCAAAGAAGGGACCGTATGGGTGAACTCCATCACAGAAGCTCTCAAATGCTTTGTCGAATGGATATGGGCCTTGCTCTGGTGTCCTAACGTTGTTGAGGAAATGCCACATTGAAACCAATGTGTCTTTAGGGTTCCGGGTTATGTACACAATCTTACAATTCGATTTTTTCATTGATTCCGGTAAGGCATTGTAAGGGATGTGAGTATGGAACAGTCTTGGAGATGGCATACCTGCAATGGTGTAGTCAGAAATTTTGACAATCAGTTAGTTATCATCAATGTCATTACGTTATATTTTTAATCTTACAAAACTTCTCAAATCAAATTTCCCATGGTATACTGTAATATCATTCAGTGTGTTTGATTTAAATTTTTTGAATTAAGTTTTCTAAAAATTGAATTTTTAATTTTCCTGTGTTTTTGTTTTTAATGAATATTTTTAAAATTGTAAGCAATTTTTTTACTTTTTTAGATAAACCTTACTTAAATGTATCTAAATAGTAAAATATTTGTGAAAAAATATTTTAAAAAATTAATAAATACACAAAAATACGAAAAATATGTTGATTTTTTTTTTATTTATATTTTTGGAATTTAGTGAATTTTTTTAAAGAATTTTTTCACAAATATTGAACTTTTTAAGTATATTTATATTATATGTGTCTAAAAATTAAAAAAAAAAATTGCTTAAAATATTTAAAAAATTCAGTGAAAATAAAAAAATATAAAGAACAAAAAAGTATAATTTTTTGAAAAGTGAATTCTGAAAATTGAAACCAAAGAAAATGAATAATTCAAATTTGTGGGAGGTCTCTTGGATGCATACCTGAGAGATCAACAGTTGAGTTTTTCTCGTAATTTTTGCTTTCAATGGTTTGCACATAGAAAGTAGGGTGGTTCTTGAGAAGAGGGTCATCTTCTTCTTCTTCTTTCTCACCAACTTTGCCCTTGTCAGCACCCTTTTGGCCTTGCATGATGCAAAAACAAAGAGCTTTGAGCCATGTTGTGCCTGTTTTAATGGAGGAAGCTAAGACTATATCGTCGTCCCGGGATTCATGGTGTGCTTGGAGGTCTTTTGTACCTTCTAGGTGACCAGTTGAGTACCAGAAACCTTCCCACTTGTGGAGATCTAGAATGTCCCAGAACCTTTTGCTGGGTTCTTGATCTAGTGAAGGCTTTGGGGAATCAGAAGGTTGTTGGTGCTCAAGAGAGTTCTTAGTTTCCATGGCAAGTGAAACCAAAGAACTCACTAGACTTGAACAAGAGATGGATTCTTTGGGTTGGCTTAAGTTGAGCCAAGCATATCGAGGTATATATAGTGGGATTGTGGGGGACGATGAACAATAAAGAAATCCAAAAATCATTAGTGGGTGGTGCTTTCTTAAAAAAATAAACATAAATAAATAAATAATTTGATAAACATACTAACCAATCTTTTAGGAAAATGAGTGAGAGCACTAATTAGTGCTAGCACCAATCATATGGCAGTGAGTTCCACTCACTGCCACAATTTTGTTGTGTCTATTTTTTTTTTTTTTCGAAAAAGTGGTGCCATATCATTAGTGGTTGCTTTAGAGCACCACTTCTAAGAGAAAAGATAGGGATCATGAAAAAACTTTCATGAAACTGGTCATGAAAAATTTATGACCCTTGGATTACCTTGATTAGTGTGTGGTGTTTTATTTTAAGTGTAATCCAAGGGTCATAAATCTTTCATGATCATTTTCATGAAAGTTTTTTCATGATACCTACCATTGCTCCACTTTTAATGGTCTCTAGCATTGCCCAATCTTTTATTGTCTTTTTCACTTCTGTGGAACAAAACAAACGTACTGTTGAGTTTATGAAAGTCATTATAAATTTTGTTTTGATAATCTAAATTAATGTGTAAAGCTCGTCGAATATTTTATGCTTATAAAAAATCACGTTAATATATTTTTAAACTAAATTGTTAAAAAAAAATATTCTGATTAAGAGATTATCGATATCCGATCAACGTAATTTTGTATAGGTATAAAGTACTCAACGAGCTCTACATATTGAACGGTTTTAATTATTGAAACGGGACCCGTGGTGAGCTATACGGATCTAACAGTACGCTCCAATCCACTATATAGACAAGAGAGAAGCCATCTCTTTTAAGAAATCAACAATTGGACTAGAGTCCAATTTATGGGATTTGGGCCCACTTCAAGCTTATCTTGATGATTTAAATTACTCAATTTTTAGAGTTGCCAAGTCAATGAACATATGATAATTAAATTGATTCGATATTAGTGGTTGCATTATTGAATTAAATTTGTCTAAAAAATAGATAATGTAACGACGCGGACATGCATTTGCTTAATTATTCCCCCGATTGCATTGTTATGTGCTAATTAATATGTGTTTGATGAGAAATTGCATGTGAAATAGAAAGATTTATATTTATATCTGTTGATTTTAGAAAAATCTGCTTCAATTACAACTTTAAATTGAAAGTTGAAGGTCTTAGAGGCACCAGAAATCAAAACTGATTAAATATTTGTGATCAGCATAATTTTTAGAGCCTAATATGAAGTTTTATAAAAATCTGATTCAGAATGAATTAATTGGATTTAATTTATATATATGTATAAGAACTTTAGTTGAGCCTTAGACTCAACAAATAAAAGTCTAAGAGAGAGAGAGAGAGAGAGAGAGAGAGAGAGAGAGAGAGAGAGACTTCCAGAGACTAAGAGAAGAAAGAAGAAAAGAAGTGAAAGAAGAAGAACAAAGGGGGAATTAAGCCAAATCTTCATCAAATCAACCATCTAAGGTGGAAATTTTCTTCTAAGAGACTTATAAGTTGAATCAAAGAACTGAGTGGTGTAAATTGTTGTTTAGAACTCACATGAGTTTAAAGAGAGAAATTGTAAAACATAGTTTAAGATTTGGCATACATGGCATCCTTATTGTTCAATTATTTGTTTTCTTGCATAAGTTTTCAAATGGAGAGGTAACTCCATGGGGGTTGATGTTTTGAAACTCAGAAATACAAGTTTTGTGGGTTTACATTTCAGTTCAAGGGTTTGATTTGTTCTACATGGAAATTTAGTTTGATTTGAAATTATGATTTTGTTTGAAGTTAGAAATTGTTTATTCGACATGTTTTTATGAGTTTTGGGCTTTGATTTTCATCACATATTGACATTGGATTTGTGCACAGGGAAGTTCCAAGTTGAGTTGAATTTTTGAACTGGTTTTCAGCCAGACTGCTCGAGATGGCATCCTTATTGTTCAATTATTTGTTTTCTTGCATAAGTTTTCAAATGGAAAGGTAACTCCATGGGGGTTGATGTTTTGAAACTCAGAAATACAAGTTTTGTGGGTTTACATTTCAGTTCAAGGGTTTGATTTGTTCTACATGAAAATTTAGTTTGATTTGAAATTATGATTTTGTTTGAAGTTAGAAATTGTTTATTCGACATGTTTTTATGAGTTTTGGGCTTTGATTTTTATCACATATTGACATTGGATTTGTGCACAGGAAAGTTCCAAGTTGAGTTGAATTTTTGAACTGGTTTTCAGCCAGACTGCTCGAGCGGCCTGAGCCATCGCATGAGCAGCCAAGCTTATTTTGGCTCAAAATACATACTGTTTAACCACCGCTCGTGCAACCATGGCCACCGCACAAGCGGCTAGGCCGCCGCATATGCGGCCTGCAGGGCAATTTTTCCAGTTTCTTTTTCTTTTCGTTTTTTGAGTTCCGAGCCTTCATTTACATGGTTTTCATGTGTAATTCACATCTATATGCATATCATAAGGATCAAAGAGATTAAAGAAAGAATATGAATAACCAAACGAATAAGTAATGAATGAAACGAAGACATGTAATTTTGAGATATTGTGCTTGGTTATATGTCTGCAGGTTGAGATTGGTTATGTGTCTACATGGCATCCTTCTTATTCAATCATTTGTTTTCTTGCATAAGTTTTCAAATGGAAAGGAAACTCTATGGGGGTTGAGGTTTTGAAACTGAAGAATGCAAGTTTTGTGGGTTTACATTTCATTTCAAGGGTTTGATTTGTTCTACATGAAAATTTAGTTTGATTTGAAATTATGGTTTTGTTTGAAGTTAGAAATTGTTTATTCAACATATTTTTATGAGTTTTGGGTCTTAATTTTCATCACATTGACATTGGATTTATGCAAAGGGAAGTTCCAAGTTGAGCAAAATTTTTGAACTGGTTTTCACCCAGACCGCTCGAGCGGCCTAGGCTACCACACGAGCGGCCAAGCTTATTTTGGTTCAAAATACATACTGCTTAACCACCGTATGTGTGGCCTGTAGGGCAGTTTTTCCGGTTTCATTTTCTTTTCGTTTTCTGACTTTTGGACCTTCATTTACATGATTTTCACATGTAATTCACATCCATATTCATATCATAAGGATGAAAGAGATTAAAGAAAGAATAGGAATAACCGAACGAATAAGTAATGAACGAAACGAATGACATGTAATTTTAAAATGTTGTGCTTGGTTATATGTCTGCAGGTTGAACTGTTGAGGTGTATCACTGACCAAGCACTGTGAGTAACATTTCTGTAAAGATATGTTCATATAGAATATATTTGACATGCTAGCTATTTGATATGTTATGTTTTCTGAAATGTTATTTTGTGAAAGTGAACAAATGTCCGATTTTGAATCTATTATGGCATCTACAGATAGTCCCAAGTCATGGGGGACGACATGTAAATATGGGTCTATGACATATATTTACGAGATCTCGATAGCCACTTCATTGTGGTGGTATATGTTTAATCAATATCCGGAACCGATTACTATAGTCGAAAGACGATATGATATATGCAGTTGGATGTACCATTATTATGTTCAGATATGAGACTGAGTTGTTATGATAAATTTTATGTATATGGCATGTATGGAATTCGTTCATTAACCCATTTACTTTAATGTTATTCATTAGGTTTTAGCTCATTATGTATATTTATATGTATAGGTAAGTGACGTGAAGATCAAGCCCAAATGCACACCGTTAGTTGAGCCACCGATCAAACCTATGGAGTTTTGTTTGGTGCCTCCGAGTTGGGGCTAGCTAGGTCTAGGCGACCGTTGTCAAGTTTTTGATCATGATGTTGACATTTTGATATTTGTGTATGTCTATAAATGTTTTTGTACAAGATGTGATGTATGTATTGTACAGTGGGTAAATTAATGTTATATGCATTTGCGTTTGTTCATATAGATGCACAACTCAATGGGCTATTTGTTATATTTATGTTATAAACTTCCGCTAACCCTGATTATTTTGATTTGTACAGGAAGGCCTTTGGTAATCTTGGATTACAAGTTAGTTACGACGCCAAACTTATAGGGGCAAGTTTGGGTCGTGACAGATAATTTATTCTCAAAATTACAATTATTGTCTATTTTAAAAAAATAAATATAATACAATTATTTGGCTACAAATGTGTAATAAACTTAATTTTTACATTATTGATTTAAATAGAGAATAATAAAAAATAAATAATTTTGATCATTGAATTGCGCCGAGGTGGGCCAACAACTCGTTAGCTAAATCCTCAAGTCCAATTGCCAAAATAAAGAAAAATTGATGGCTAAAGTTTTCTTGCTATGTTTTATCATGGATATGATATCTTATGATACGTCTGAATTTAGTAAATATCACTAGTAGGAGATTCTTGCTGTGTATGAGACTTTATTTTTAAAATAAAAAATTAATTTTAAATTTTAATATTTTATGTATAATATATTTTAATAATTGAAAGTTAAATATAAATAGATTTGTTAATGGCTAATAAATTTTTTTTGTCACTCTGTGAGATCCTATATAAAATAGGCTAATAAAAATATATACTTTTTAAAATTAAAAAAAATGTATTCTCAACTCGAAATCTAATCCTCATTTGTGTTAATCAAATTTATTAAAAATTATGAATTCCACTTGTATCAAAATATTTTTAAACTAATAAAAAATAAAAAATTACGGAAAATTCTATAATATATAAATTATGACTTGGTTATAACGCATGGTGTAAAATATATATTTTTTAAAATTAAAAAAAATGTATTCTCAACTCGAAATCTATCCTTTGGCTTTCTTATAGCAACACACTCAGCTAGTTAGTCCCTATTAGAGTTGCCTGATTTCCTGTTGTATGCTGCTGCTTATGGTTGGGTTGTTCAGGGGGCTGCTCTACCTTGGTTATGTGTTTTTTCTTTTCGTTGGTCCCTCACCAACTATGGGGTGCTAGCAAATGATAGGATGATCTCTTTGGTGCCAACCTAGTTGGGATCAATTTGCTCATTGTGATGCGTTGCACTCCCATGCCCTTTATTGATGTATTTAACTTGTTTCATTGTTCTTGTTTGTTCATCAATAAAGTTTTATTTTGCCGATCAAAAAAAAAAATGCTAGATATATAATATTGGATACATTGCCTAGATTATATTTATGTACCAAGTTTTTTAAGGTTGTTTAGGTTCATGATTCTTGTTCATGTATCTTATTTATGACGGAAAATTTTATAATATATAAATTATGACTTGGTTATAACGCATGGTGTATTATTTTGATTATTAATCGAAAAGGCTTTTACTAATTTCTTATATCTTTTGTTATGTCTAAAGTTGTGTATCCGATTTTTAATTATATTTCAAGTAGTGTTTGATTATGATTTATTATATTATTTTTATATGACAATATTAAGTATTTTATTACACAAAAAAATGCTTAAGATGAGTTGATTCAACGGTAAGATTTATTTTTATATTAGTAAGATCGTAAGAGTTATTTACATTGATGCATAAAAAATAATAAATTCAAATCATAAATAGTGTCCTCAAAAGAAATCAGCTACAAAATATTTATAATTTTAATAATTTCAGTTCTTAAAAGGTTCTAATTAATTATATGACACATCATAATAACAGCAAAACTTTTATTCTAGCTAAATTATTTTTGTGTATCTTTTCTGGTAGAGCTCATGAAGGTGCATTATTAATTTATTAGTAATACTATAAATTCAAAATTTTTATTTAAAAATCATTAAAGAAACATCAATAGGTATTTTAAATATATACAATCATTTTCGATAAATCATTATTTTTTAAAATAATACTCCACACTATTTATTATTTGACATTTATCAAATTACCTTCTAAAAACTTAACATAAAAAGTATTGAGTTCCATTATTTTAATCAATCAATATCAAAGTGGACGCTACATGTGTATGCAAATCATTTCTAGAATATCTGACATAAAATCACAATGGAATTAATTTAATTAATGTAATGATATTTTATATTATGATATGTGTTATAAAAGAATAATTTTAATTTTAATTTTCATTTTAATTATTTATTTTTAATAATCCTAGCCTTACCGTTCTATAAAAGTGTTACTTGAATACTTATATATAATAAATTTAGCTAAATTATTTAATTATTTTGATAATTTTAGTTCTATTATGCTATAAAAGTGTAATTATCATATACTAATTTATATGATATATATTAAATTATAAAATAAATACTTATCTTAATTTTAAAAAAATAATTAAATTAGCAACTTCACAAACAGGCTCTAAACATGATGGAGTAATTTCATGGCCCCACACATCCACTGTTCAATGAATGACTTTTTTATTTTTTTGTCATATGATAAGATATTAGGAGATTAGTAAATTAAATTACAATAAAAAGATCTCACTTACTCCATCGACTTAAATGTTGAATATCTGACCTTTTCATTATCTCAAGAGACAATTAAATGGACCATTGGACCAGTTACCTTGTTCGCCAATGTACCAATACCCCCAATTAATTTCTTTTTGGTAGTTGCAAATTAGATAATATCCAGAAAAATATTAAAAAATCATAATTTTTTTTATTAAATAACTTATATGGATATGAGATTCGCATTATATAAATGTCATGTGATTCCTAAATTTATATGAAATATTTAACAAAAATTTTAATAAAATTTTTGGATCTCGAACCTTATTCTTATCTATATCCATTCAATGATATATGCAAAGTGTGGATCAGATGTGGGTAGTAATTATGCTTTGTTGAAAAGTCAATTTTAACCTTCACCTTTATTTTCTATCCATTGGCTCTTAAGGGTAGTAATGTAAATTTAACATGACTATCTTTTTTGTTAAAAACTGATTTTTTTGATTTTTTTTTATTCTTTTTTTTTCAAAAAATGTGTAAAAAATGTGAGAAATGATGCAATCTTAAATGAGTTAAAAATTAGGAAGTAACTTTTAACTCACTTCCCAAAAAGAGTGTAGGTCTATTTTAGTAAGTTATTAAAAGTTAATTTTTTAATTTTTTAAGTTATATTATTTTTAATTTTTTTAAAAATAATCAGAAAAAATAAAAAATTAACTTTTAATTTATTTTTCAAAATACCTCGCAATACTCTGTTCACGACCTCATGTATAATTTGGAGCAAATCAGATTTCGTTCAGGGGGCAGATGACTGCTTAGCTAATTTACTGGATTGTATCCAATGGGAGTTTTGGTAGTTCAGTGGAAGGCTGTTTTGCTGGTAATTTTGGTGATCATTTTATTGTGTTATTGTTTAATGTGGTGCTGCATTTGTATTGTTTGTGCTGTGTTCTTTTTCTCTTTGGTTTCTCACTCATTTTTGATGATGTGCTAGTAAGTAATTAGGTCTGTATCTCGGTGCTCATCTAATTAGAATCATTTTGTTTTGTTTTGTTATGATATTGTTTTGCACTCGCCGTCCCTTTATTGATATAATATTTTGGATTTTGTTCGGTAGAATTTTGGAAAGTTAGTTCTAAGTTTTGATTTACACACCGTATATGTTTACGGTTTTTAAAAATTAATTCCACACTTACTTTTGAAAATTCCATCTAATTTTGAAAATTTGGACTAACGTCGTCCCACCGGTCGTCCGGCCGGTTGACCGGAACTGTGCATAATTTTTTTTTAAACACATGTTAATTTTTATATATTCAATAAAAAATATTTTCTGAATTTTTTAAATTTTTTTTATGAGTTTTGAATAGAATTTTGAGTTGTGTGTTTAGTTATGAGTTGTAAGTTTTGTATCAAATATTATGTCACATCAAAAATTTCTCACTCAATTCAAAACTCTTTTTAAAACTCATTCACCAAACAAATTTTCTACATTCAAATGATAATTCCAAAACTCACAAACTCAAAATACAATTCCATTCTCAAATCATATTTAGAAAATTCTACCAAACACAACGTTGATGTTTACAAATAAAAGTTTCTTTCTTTTGCCTATAAAAAAAAATTTAATATTGAATGCCTGACGACTGGTAATGGTGATGAACACAACCACATGATAATGGTATATTTTTTTAATAAATGGTATATAAATTTATTTCTTAAATTCAGTGATACATAAATGATATAATTGATTGATGATTAAAAAAGATATAAAAAAAATTATTGTCTTAAATATCTTAATTGATTATCACATCATTAAACTTGCAAAAATAGGTCTAATTTTTGGACTTGAACAACAATTAGTTTGTTTGGTTTCACTTTGCAGAAAATTAAATTTTTTTTATTTTTTGTATTTTTGTATTTTTATTATTTTTTAAATATTTTAAGTAATTTTTTAAATTTTTGGATACACCTAACATAAATACACTTAAAAATATAATATTTATGAAAAAAAATATTTAAAAATTTTCTACCTCGTTTGGGAATAGTTTTTTTAGTAACTTTTTGACTTTTTGACTAAAATATGATATAAAAAAACTAGTATGTTTGAGATGATTTTTTTTTTATTTTTTACGAAAATATGTGCAAAAAATAAAAAGAAAAGATTTTTTTTTAACTTTTTAATATAGATTGTTAACTTTTTGATTTTTTTTAATGACTTTTAGATTAAAAATGATGTTGCCAAATGAGACCATAAAATGTTATTCAAACCCTCGGGGAAAACAATTTTAATAATCTTCCCAAAAGATTGCAAAATAGCACAAAACGAGAATGTAAAAAAAAGAGAGGGGAGGGGAACAATTTTAATAATCTTTCCAAACCATTGCAAAATAGCACAAAACGAAAATGAACAAAAAAAAAAAAAAAAAACAAAAACAAAAACAAAAACAAAACAAAAAATTGAAAACCAAAACCGGAACAAAAAAACCTTAAGGTTATGTTTGTTTCGCGGTTTGAGTGGCCAGATTGGATTACAATGGATGTAGGCCCCACACACAGCATGTGTGGTAGTG